TACCAAAATGCAAGCCACCTACCACAATTCTAGTTTAAATGGAGTATATCCACAAAATAGTTATATCACTACACTAAGTTTAGTGTTCTCACAAAAGCTAACTAAAGAGCCATACTAACCAAACTAACAAGCTCTCACAACTAGTTACACTAAAGAGCTTGACAACTAGTTTGCGGTAATGTAAAGAGTAGGCAAGAAGATTATACCGCCGTGTAGATGTATGAACCAATCAATCACAAATGTGGATACCAATAAAGACCAATCACCTCGGAATCAATGATGAACACAATGATTTTTTACCGAGGTTCACTTGCTTGCCGGCAAGCTAGTCCTCGTTGTGGCGATTCACTCACTTGGAGGTTCACGCGCTAATTGGCTTCACACGCCAAACCCTCAATAGGTTGCCACACAACCAACACAAGATGAGAATCACACAAGCCACGAGCAATCCACTAGAGTACCTTTTAGCGCTCTGCCGGGGAAAGGTCAAGAACCCCTCACAATCACCACGATCGAAGCCGGAGACAATCACCACCCTCTGCTCGACGATCCTCGCTGCTCCAAGCCGTCTAGGTGGTGGCAACCACCAAGAGTAACAAGCGAATCCTGCAGCAAGACACGAACACCAAGTGCCTCTAGATGCAAACACTCAAGCAATGCACTTGGATTCTCTCCCAATCTCACAAAGATGTTTAATCTATGATGGAAATGAGTGGGAGGGCTTTGGCTAAGCTCACAAGGTTGCTATGTCAATGCAAATGGCCAAGAGGGTGAGCTTGAGCCAGCCGTGGGGCTTAAATAGAAGCCCCCATGAAATAGAGTCGTTGTACCCCTTCACTGGACACAACGCGGGGTGACCGGACGCTTCGGTCCGATCGACCGGACGCTGGCCCTCAATGTCCGGTCACGTGATTCATGCCACGTGTCCCCTGCTTCAAATATTGTTCGTCAGATTTCAACGGTCGTCTGCTGACCGGACGCGTCAGTTAGAAAGTGATCGAACGCTGGACCTTAGCGTCAGGTCGTTTCCAGTAAGGTTCCAAACGCGATTTTTCCTGACCGGACACAGCCAGCGTCCGGTCACACAACGTCTCCTATGTACGCCCTACGTCAATGTACGTCAGCACTGACCGGACGCACCTCGCCAGCGTCCGGTCGCTGAGCGACCTAGCGTCTGGTCATGAGACCAAAATGCACGCCCTCTGCTGCCACTGACTGGACGTGCCGGTCCAACCGAGACCAGCGTCCGGTCACTTGCAGTGGCCTCCGTCTTTTCTATCTAGGGCGCTGATGGCACCGTCGGACTGTCCGCACTCTACGGGCAGACACTCCGCCGGTGGAGTTTCTTAGCCTTGCACCCAAACTTCACCACCCTTGATCAAATGTGCCAACCACCAAGTGTATCACCTTGTGCACATGTGTTAGCATATTTTCACAAACATTTTCAAGGGTGTTAGCACTCCACTAGATCCTAAATGCATATGCAATGAGTTAGAGCATCTAGTGGCACTTTGATAACCGCATTCTGATACGAGTTTCACCCCTCTTAATAGTACGGCTATCGATCCTAAACATGATCACACTCACTAAGTGTCTTGATCACTAAAATAAAATGGCTCCTACAATTTATACCTTTGCCTTGAGCCTTTTGTTTTTCTTCTTTCTAAGTCCGAGCACTTGATCATCACCATGGCATCACCATCATCATGTTATGATCTTCATTTGCTTCACCACTTAGAGTGTGCTACCTATATCATGATCACTTGATAATCTAGGTTAGCACTTAGGGTTTCATCAATTCACCAAAACCAAACTAGAGCTTTCAGCTGCTTGGATACATCATGTCCGAACAAGGTACCGAGGCCAACCCCAAAAAAATCATGGTCATCTTCAACATGGGCCCCATACGCAACGTCAAGGGCGTGCAAAGGCTCACCGACTGCTTGGTCGTCCTGAGCCGGTTCATCTCATGGCTCGGCGAGCAAGGGATGCCTCTCTACAAGCTTCTCAAAAGGACGGACGCCTTTGTCTGGACTGAGGAAGTGCAATAGGCTTTGGAGAGCCTCAAAACATCACTAACATCGGCCCCAATCCTCGTCGCTCCCGAACAAGGAGAACCCCTCCTCCCCTACGTCGCAGCAAGCAACCACGTGGTGAGCGCCGCCCTGGTCGTCGAAAGAGAGGAGCTAGGACACCACCTTAAGGTCCAGCGACCCGTATACTTCATCGGGGAGGTACTCACCGACCCCAAGGTCTGATACCCCTAGGTGCAGAAACTCCTATACGCCGTGCTGATGGCGACCCAGAAGCTCCTGCACTACTTCACCGACCCCAAAGTCACGGTCGTCACTTCATACCCGCTTGGAGACATCGTCCGCAACCGCAACGCCGCGAGACGGATCTCCAAGTGGGCACTCAAACTCATGGGCCATGACATCAGGTATATCCCCCGTACCTCTATTAAGTCTTAGGCTCTCGCAGACTTTGTCGCCGGAAGGACGGAGGTCCAGCTACTGACTCTGGACGTCACCCACAAGTACTGGACGATGTACTTTGATGGGTCCGTAATGGCGCCCGGCTCAGGGGCTGGAGTGGTTTTGATCTCCCCAGACAGGAGTAGGCTCCGCTACGCCATCCGCCTCCATTTTTGGCCTCAAACAACGCCACGGAGTACGAGGCCCTCATCAACGGATTGCGCATTGCCATCGAGCTCGGCGCTATGCAACTCTACGTTCGTGGCGACTCGGAGTTGGTCATCGACCAAGTCATGAAGGAGTCCTCCTGCAAAAGCCCCCTCATGGCAGCATACTGCCAGGAGGTGCGCAAGCTCGAGGACAAAATTCAGGGGATCAAACTGCATCATGTCCCCCAAAAGGACAATGATGCCGCTGATTTTCTTATAAAATTGGCTGATAGGCGGGTTCCGTCTCCAGATGGGGTCTTCATCAATGACCTTCAAGAACTGTCTGCCCGTATCCTGGAAGGTCTGATCCAGACACACGCTGATACCGACCTGACACTCTGGGGATCTGACCCCGATACCTCCGTAATGACGTCGCTCGCCGACATCGCCATGGTGACACTCGATCAAACCGACTGGCGAGCGCCGCTACTCACCTACCTCCTTGAGGAGGTTCTCCCGCCCGAGAGGACTGAAGCACGATGGATCGCTCGACGCGCCAAGACCTTCATCGCGCTCGGTGACAAACTTTACAAACGAAGTCCGTCGGGAGTACTCATGAGGTGCGTCCCTACCAACCAAGGCAAACAGCTCCTCCTCGAGGTCCATGCCAGAATCTACGGACATCACGCGGCCCCGAGGTTGCTGGTCGGAAAAGCCTTTCGCCAAGGTTTTTACTGGCCCACCGTGCTACGAGATGCAGAGGAGTTCGTCCGCAGGTGTGAAGGATGCCAATTCTGTGCTCGGCAAACTCATTTGCCAGCATAGGAGCTCCAAACCATCCCCATCACCGGCCATTCGCGGTCTAGAGCCTCGACATGGTAGGACCCCTCAAAAAGGGCGGGCAGCTTCACTCACCTGCTCGTAGCGGTCGACAAATTCACCAAGTGGATAAAGGCCAAGCCCATCAGCAACATCCGCTCGGAGGAGGCAATAAAAGTTCTTCCTCGACATCATCTACTGGTTCGACGTTCCTAATTGTATCATCACTAACCACGGAACATAAATCCTACTGCACCATCGTGTTTGAACTGAACATAAATCCTACTGCGCCAAAAAAATTTGTTCAGTTTTTAGTTTCAAATTATGAACAAGAAACCTAAAATTGAAACTGCTAAGGTAAGCAATCTTGTTTTGTTATGTTTTTTCATTATTCAGTTATTGTTTTTTGTCAGTTTTTTATATTGAGTATTATATGTAGTTGCAGCATTTTCGGTTTAGTTTCAGCTGAATGTAGTTTTATTTTTGGTGCAGTAGGATTTATGTTCAGTTCAATCACTTGGTTGAGGTGTTTTGCATATCAAGGTAGTTATATTGTTTAATATTTATTTATTTCCTTTTTTATTTGCAGAACTCTATTGCACCTAGAGGAGCTTCAGTTTTTGCAGATGGCAATTCAATGAGAAATCCTTATTTGGTTCTGGACACTCCTGTAGTTATGCATCAGAGCAATTTTAAAGTTGATGAGTTTGCTTCTGTTCGAGGGCTATTTATTTATTTATTTATTTCATATTTTTTATAATGGTTTTTCTTTTTCTTAGTTCCAGGAAATGTTCCTATTATGAACAAGAAACCTAAAATTGAAACAGCTAAGGTAAGCAATCTTGTTTTGTTATGTTTTTTCATTATTCAGTTATTGTTTTTTGTCAGTTTTTTATATTGAGTATTATATGTAGTTGCAGTATTTTCAGTTTAGTTTCAGCTGAATGTAGTTTTATTTTTGGTGTAGTAGGATTTATGTTCAGTTCAATCCAGTAACCTGCTTTAGAGTTGTAGTGAATTACAATAGAGTTTTTCTGTTTAGTATTTTAGTTCTATTGTGATTCAGTTAGTAAATTTCAGTTTCTTCGTGCTACAAAAGTTCATGTCTCTATCTTCTCTAGGTGTGGCTTGGTTTTTTGGTCACAAGCAGGTGCAGCATGATTGTTTATTTCACTGAGTGCAATTAGCTGCAGTTTTGGCATTTTCAATAGTGCAGAGTCAATATCCTCTGTTCAGCTTACAACGTTGCATTTGTTTTTTGTTAGCAAGTCAATGTTTATTAAAATTATGAGTCATACCATTTTTTGGTTTTTTTATTTTTTTCTATTTTTTTGAAGCTATCACCTTATGTTGAAGTTTTGGGCGTGTCTATCTTCAAAGATCGTTGCATGCATTTAGGGAAGTTAAATGATGAGCTATATAACAGAAGAAATTTGAGTACTTTGGCAGCCCATCCAACAATTGATTTAACTGGTCGTATTCCAGAAGCAAGGTGATTTTTAATTACTGACGAAGAAAGGGCTTATTATAAAATCATATGTGGTCTTGCTTAAAGCCAATGGAGTTGGTATGTTTGCCTTTTCTATTATGTGTATTTTTTTATGCATATCTGTTTTGTTATAGTAACTTATTTTCTTTTTTGTTGTTTTTGTAAGGACCATGACGTCTAAGAGGGGGGGTGAATTATGCAACTTAAAATTCTAACTCTAAACTATGGCCTCTAATTCCACCTAGTCAAAACTTAAGCAAGAAAGTAATCTATCTAGATGTGCAACTACGGTTTTACTAGGTGTGTTGCTATCTCTACCGCAAAAGAGTTATGCAACATAGGTTCCAATCCTATCAACTAGCCTATGAAAGTAAAGCAATCAACCAAGGTAGCAATGTGAATGTGGAAGGTAAAGATAAGGTAGAGATGCAAACTTCCGTCGACGACTCTGGTATTTTTACCGAGGTATCGAGAAGCGCTCAAGCTTCCCCCTAGTCCTCGTTGGAGCCCCGGTCAAATAACTCCGTGGATAGCCCCGGGCCTTCCCTACGCGCAAGTGGGTCTTCGGTGTGCCTTCCGGCAAGCCTCTCTCAGACCGCTCCCCGTCGTCTTCGCTATCAAGCTTCCGGCCGAATCGCCGTGGGCCTTGTTCCCTTCGGTACACGGTGATGACCACACCACAAATGCGGTTGGTGTGATCTCACAAGACTACAAACCCCTACGATGTACAACAATGGTGTACGCAAGCACCTAGTGATAAGAGGTGTGCAAACCTCACTAAACACTAGGCCTAAACCTAGAACAAGCGCATAAGCGATGGTTTAATCAACCTAAGCACATCGCAGAGCACCTACGCTAATCACCTAATGAATCACTAAGCACTGTGCAAGTGGAGATCACTAAAATGGTGTATCAACACTCTTGGTTTGTTTTCTCAGCTCTCCACATCACAAATGGCCGGTTGGGGGTATATTTATAAGCCACATAGAGAAAGTAGTCGTTTGGGGCGAAACCCAGCTTTCTGCTACTGACCGGAAATGTGTAAGTATATGTTTCCTTCTGTAACTGTGATGTGCGGTGACATGGCTGATATCTTCGGGTGAATCAGTTTTGCATAGTTGAGGCCGCACTAAATCTTGCAGTATTTTTGCATTAATTTAGCTGTATTGTGCATGCATGTGTCTGCACTAATTTTTTGCTAGTTCCTGTGTGTTTTGTCTGTATGGCTGTCTGCAATCTCACACACTCAACCCGGCCTGTGTTTGAGAGTGATTAGATCAGATGCTTGTATTAATAGGCGCATCATCTACATCTCAGTTTTGTCTTTTTGCTATTTTGATTGTTGCATTCATCAATTTCAGGTTACGCTTATTAGAACTTAAGTTTTAGTGGAATAGAATGTGTTTTTACTTTAAGTTTAGTTTCAGTTCAGGTTAGTAGTATCTGTTATTAGTTTTAGTTTAGTTCAAGTTCAGGTTAAGTTTCGCAGAACCTATTTTTCAGTATAAGTTAAGTTTTTGTTTAGTGGAATCTAGGTTTGGTGAAACTGTAATTGAGTTTGACGGTTAAGTATTGTAGTTTTATTATTATTTTTCGACTTCTTTTTTCTGCAATGTTGACTGTGGTGTATTCGCCTTGAAATTCATGGAGCTATGGGACAGGAACGTCGATCTCAGGGATATGTTCGATCATTCTGATATTCCCAATATACGTGTGAAGCTTGGAGTCGACTTATTCTTCAGCAAAGGAAATTGCATCGACAAATCTCTTGTGACGAACTTGTATAAGCAGGTAAAACTCAGGTTTCATTTTTGTATATACTGTTTATGTTAGTACATATTTGAATTTGTTTTTTTTTTGCAGGGCGTCGATCCTCGTGTCTCCAACTAGTTTTGAGTTTTCTATGTGAACCACAGATGTTCATGTAATTAGTTGGTATACATGGATGGAGATTTGTAGAGCAGTTAAAACTTTTTTTTTCGAAAGCAGTATGTTTCACATGCTATTAGGACTAAAAATTTGATTTGTGCATTGTTGCACACTGTAGAACTAAATACTCTATTAAAGTTTGTAATTCTATTATAGAATTTTACATATATCTCATAATGTTTCTGAGTTGTCTACCTTTTTCCTTCTACTGCATGGTTGGTACTCCTTAGTTGGTTGCTTCTCTTTTTCAGTTGGCTTTTGATGTTGATTTCTTCATCCCCTTGTTCTGGGGCTTGCTCAGTGAACCTACGATAGGAAAGGAAAGCTAATTATGATGTTTTTTTTATTTTGTCTCAAAATTTAAATTACTTACTATCTAATATTACTTGCTAATATGAAACTGTACCTAAGTTTACACTTGATGTTGCTTTCTTTTTCTTCTTGTTTTCTTGTTGTTTCATTTTCTGCCTAACCTGTTCTATTTGAGTCTTCATTCTCTTCGGCAATATTGGCCTGCCCTTCTGTGTTGCTGTTTCTGGATCTTCAATTTCATCTTCAGAAATGTTCAGTTGTATACTGCAGTTGCATTTGTTTGTACTTCTTGATTTGATGTTTCTTCATTCTGACCATGATCACTTGCCGGAGGTGCTAGCAACTGGTCCAAGTGTGATTCGATCATGTCCATTTCTGCCATAAGGTAATGTGTTGCTTCTTCCTTCTTAGCTGATTTTGAGTTTAGAACTGTAGATTTTCTTGAAAGCACATTGAATCTGAGGAGTGAGCTTGTTGCTATTGTCTCCTCTTCTATAGTTTGTTTCAGCATTCTCATATCCCTTTTTCTCCATCTATCTATTATGTATTTTTCTGGTATCCTGCTAATTTCTTTTTCTATTATGACTTTCAGGATATGTGAGCAGAGTATGCCATCTTTGCTAAATTTGGCACAGATGTAGTTGAATTCTTCTTTCTCTTCCGTGAGGTCAGTTAGCACTATATATTTCCTTATCCTTTGTACATGTTGTACTTGATAACTTCTCTGCCAAACTTCAAATGCTTTCCCTTCTCGAATTTGCTTGTATGTCAGTGTTGAAGTAGCTTTTAGTTGCAACTGGAATTTCTTGTATAGATTTCTGTTGTATAGCTCATGTGCTTGTTTCTCAAATGTGTACCCAAATAGGAGTTTCTTTGGTCTTTTCTGGTTGCTACAGTGGTCCTCTAGATTTTCTGCTCTGTCTATTGCGTCTATTATGCGTTGGTACTCTCTTAAGAAACTGATGATATTGTAAGTAGGTCCAACATTGTCTTTAAATCTTTTGTAGCCTCGCTTCTTGATGTTGTTTGGATGAAGGGAAAGAAATCATGTTTGTAGTAAATGGGGATGAACCTCTTCCTCGTTTCCCACATCTTTGTGAAGTATTTATTGTTCTGTAGATCTCTTTCCTCAATCATCTTCCCCCATAAGGTCTTGAATTCCTCTTCTGTTAGACAGTTGTTTACTGTGTCTTCAAATTCTTCATATAGATCATCTTTTGCTACAAATATCTTTATATTCTTTGAGTAGCATTTTGTCTTTATGTGGAACAAGCAATTTTTGTGCCTAGTATTTGTGAACACTTCTTCAATAGCAACTTTCATAGCTTTATCCGGGTTTGTAATGATTGTTTTAGGGTGTTTGCCTCCCATATCCTCTAGGAAAGTTTCAAACAAATTGAAAGTTGGTGTAGTCTCATCATGTAGAAGAGCACATCCAAAGATACATGTCTGTGCATGCCCAGTGATGCCCACAAAGCTGACACAGTCTCCATAATCTGCGTAGTATCTCAATGCTGATCCATCTCTCCAGAAAACATTTTTGACTTTGTTCTCTTCATCCAATTCAAACTTATAGAAGAAGCTAGGATCTTCACTCTTCTTGATTCTGAAGTTGTCCAGCACTTTTGTCATGTCTGATCCTCTTACTTCTCTGTTTATCTTTATTCTAAAATTGCTCACATCCTTTTTCTTGACTGGTAGTGTTGTAGGTCCTCCTCTAAGATATGACAAATATAGAAATCATCTTTCTTGTTGGAATGTTATTGTTGTTCAATGTTCTGATCAGTGTCTTTTCCATGTCTGTCATATATTTGTGTCCACTGAATTGCTGGTTCCTCTGACCTGGTCTCAGTTTATGATTGTGCTCTAAATCTAGCCTGATAATCTTCCAAATGTCTCCTTCTTCTTTGATAACCACTACACATGGGCAGTTTGTTTTTACTATGACATTTGTTTGTCTTTTTGGACCTTTTTTCCAATATCCTTGTCTGTTGCTGCCTCCTGCTGATCTGCTGTTTTGGGCTGCTCATCTTTTCCAAATTTGTTACACTTGATTGTCACTTTTGTTACTTCATTGTTTCTTTTTCTGCTTGAAGTTCTGAAGACATGTGCTACGGCGGTTTTGAACCCGCAAGGTATGCATAGAAGTTGAAGAAATGTTAAGCTTGATCCTTGGTTTGAAATTGCATGCCTAACTGCGAGGTGTACTTGCTGTCAATATCTACGTTGTTCCCCTTTGAAGTTGCTATCTGTTCTTTCATTGTGAAATCATCAATTTCTTCTTCAGTTAGTTTCTGGCTTCCATCAGCCTCTGTGATATCAACCTCTTCAGCTAGGACAAGGTTATTTTTTTTGCTGATTCTCCATATGTTTGTGTCATTTCTGATGCTTTAATTGACAAACCTTCTTCCACAATTCTTTCAGGTTCTTGTATTTATTCAATTTCCATATTTCTGAAGATGCCATTTTGCCATTGCTCTTCTTCTTGGTCAGATAAGTATTCCTAACCCTAGTCCCTGATTTGGTAATCCTGTCATACTTGTATGTTAGTGTTTGTTCTTTTTGTATTTTGAGTTCATGGTTTTTGAGAGTCCTACCTCACGATCTGATGTTGGGTAATTGGAAATGCTCTCTCTCTCAGGGATGCTGCCCATGTTGTCTAGAGATATCTGCAAGATACAATGTTAAGCAAGGAATGATTTGCTTTTTTGTTTATTTTTAACTGCATCTATCTTTGTGTTGTCATGCTAGATATGCCATATTTGTTTCCTGTGTAGTAGTCTGATAGCTGTCCCTAGAGTTGTATACTTTCCTGTATTTTTTTCAATCATAAATGAGACATCATTCTGGTGTAAGACAGCAATGATGTTTAATAAAACAACAGGAAGTTTTATATAAGCTGTATTTTTTGTTGTTTTACCTGAAAAATCTGTGGACCCAATAGTAAACTTGTATATGATCCTTGCATTTCCTCAGAGAACTGAAATATGTACCAAATTTGTTACATTTAAATATCACACTTTTTGAAATCTAGACTTTTGTATTTTTATAAATTTTTCAACAAATTAGGAAGTGTAAATAGTTTTTTTACCGAGTACATTTCTTCTTGGGAGTTTCTGATTTGCTCCATTAGTAATCCTGTCAAGCTCTCCTGTTGTAAAATTATTCAACTGATTTTAGTCATTTTTGCTATGTGTTTTTTGAATGATCTAAATGTGTAATATAATTTCTTTTGCTAGGGGGAAGTTTTTTTGTATTAGCATCACCTTGTTGCTGCTTTGTATTTGAGAAAGGTTTGAACCGCACCCTCCCATTGTTGTTGATTCATTGATTGAAATTGCCCTAAAAATAGGTGTAGCTCTTTCTGTATCTGCGTTTTGTGTTGATGTTCCTACATCCATTTGGAAAAAACAATAGTTCATCTGATTTTAGTATTTATGCTATTAACTTTTTGTTCTTTTTTTTTAATTTTTCATACCTGCAAGTTGTACATCAGTCCCAATTGACCGTGCCAGCAGTTCATCGCAGCGTTGGGAGGTGGTGCTTCAAATGGATTTGTTGCAAGGTAGCCCAAATTTGCATGTGTTTGTTTTTTCATGCATATATGTAAATAAAAAGTGAATAGCAGTCCAATTTGCACAGAATAGGAAGATAGATCATACTGCATAAAGATTTTTTTCTTTTTTTAAATGTTTTGTCAATGATCAAGTCACATGAATGGAATCAGTTTTATAGCATAATTTGGACACGGTCAGCTTTTAGGGAATTCGTACCAAATTTTTGGTTCAGAGATGTTATGTCAATGATCAAGTCACATTGCTACGCATATGTTGCATGAACATGTTATAATATTTTATAGCCTAGGACAGATGAACACAACTTTTTTTAACTTTGCATTTTTTTTCATTCAACATGAACATGTGTAGAAGAATGATCCCCTGTGTTTTACTGAAATATAAGATATTTAGGGGGGGGGGGTTTCAAGAAGTCGCCTGCAGCTGATTTTTTTTTTTTTTTTTTGCATTGATGTTGCTGTATCCTTGATCTTGTCTGCATTCCCCACTTGATTCTAGATTAATCACAGGGTTATCAGTTGTTAGTCAGTAAAGATTTTTCCAGATTTGTTCTGCAAAGTTGTCTGTAGATTCATTAGCGGTAGTTTGCGTGTGCTCACCTGTGTTTGTTGTTCACCTTTCTGCAGATGAAGCTTTGTGGACCGATCTGGAGGTTCCATTTTTGTTGCTTCTTTATCAAATCCCGTGCTCTCAGATCTGCATGTGTCTGTTCTTTTGCGTTCTTTTGCGCGTGGGTGGCTTTGTTGGATCTGTACATGTTAGTATCTTTTCGTTTGATGACATATTCCTTTCTTCTCCGATCTTCTTGTTTGGCAAGTCTTTCCCTCTTTTGCCCTTTGTCCCTTGCATTTGTTTTGTTTTATCATTATGGCGCTTTTTTCTGATTGGGCCTTTTTTGTAGTTATGTTTTCATTTTTTCATGGCCTGTTTTTTTTTGGAGTGGTGCATGGCCTGTTAGGCCTATTATTTTTCTTGGGCTTTTTTTTCTAGTGGTGCATGGTCTGTTTTGGGCCAAAAAATGACTTATTGCTTTTGGTTGGTGGCTTTGTGGGCCCTTTTTCATTTAATACGAGG